TATGGAAATTAGATTTATTAATTATACGTGAGCGAATATAATAAATAAATTGTTGCATTGTTTAATTTTAATCAATGAATAAACCTATTAATTTAAATTCATTAAATTTACAACCTTTTTAGCATTAGTTACAATAGCATATTTATTGGGTAATATTGATAGAGTCAATATTGGCAATGCAAAAATAGCAGGTTTTGTAGCTAATACGGGAATAAAAGAATCGGATTTTAACAATGCACTCTCGTGTTTTTATATTGGATACGTATTATTTGATATCCCATCAAATATAATGACAAAAAAAATTGGCATCAATTTTTGGTTTCCAATTATAATGATCGGGTGGGCTATTTGTTCATTGATTCAAGCCTTTATTGTTAACGCTGCAGAACTATATGTCTTGAGGATTTTGATTGGCATTTTTGAGTCGGGATTGACTCCTGGCTTCTTATTTTATTTAACACTATGGTATGATCCTTACGAGCTAACCGTCAGAGTTGCCTTTTGTTTTGGCATGGCTATGTCTGCCGGAGCATTTGGTGGTATTGCAGTTAAGTGACCCGAGCGAGAAGGAGAGGGCGAGGGTGGGATTAAGTTAATATTTTTTTCTAATTAAATTTTCTTTTTATAAATTTCTTTTCCCTATATAGGCGTATGGTATAGAGCAAATGGATGGATATGCAGGATTGTATGGATGGCAATGGATATTTATCATAGAAGCATTTCCAACAATAATTGTGGCGTTGGTTTTTTTTTTTGTTCCTAAAAATCCAGAAAGCGCTAAATTTTTATCAAAAGAAGAAGTCTCATTAATTCAAAAAAAACTAAAATCATCATCTTCTTCAAAAAAATTATCAAATGAATTAACAAAGAAACAATTAATCAGTGTTTTCACCGATTATAAGATTTATATTTATACACTAATGATGACCTTAACAGTGACAATCTCCAGTTCTCTCCTAGTATTTACACCGTCAATCATCAGAGATTTAGGGTTTGATGCATTGGCGGCACAGGCATTATCAACGCCACCATTTATAATAGGTACCATGGGAATATTTTTTACTGCTTGGTCAAGCAATAGAAATAATGAACGTGGCTTACATATTGTTGGACCCGGGCTGGTTTCGATTGCTGGAATCCTTGGATTGATTTTTGTTGAGCCGGTTAAAGCAAACATAACGGCAAGATATATATTATTTTGTATTGTTATCACCGGAGCGCTTTCGTACCTTCCAGTCCTCACTGGTTGGTTTATAAATAATATTGGTCAGTATTATATATAATTTTTCATTTAATTTAAAAAAATCAATTTTTACTTATTTATTTATTTATTTATAGTTGGACAATATAGAAAGAATGCAGCAATAGCTTTTATAGTCGGTGTGGGACAAATCGGAGGAATTATAGGAGGTCAAGTGTATAGAGCAGATGATTCACCAAAATTTATACGTGGTCATTCGATATTGCTGGCATTTTCGTGTTTAAATATAGCTCTGGCTTTATTAATGAAATTCATATTACATAACATTAATAAAAAACGAAACTCGATTAGTTTGACCAATGAAAGTAATTTTGGGTCAGGAATAGGGAAGGTGGATTATAGTGTAGAAAGTTATGATGAAGAATTATGTGATAATCATCCTAGTTGGAGATTTGAAACCTAAATATGGGTTTTTTATTAATTGATTTAATTTTCACATGCGTTAATTGTAAATTTACATTGCATAGCATACAATATTTATTAAATATTTATTTTTTATTTATTAAATAATAACTAATATTT